TTAAAGGACAGGCATTGCCAACACTGTTTTTATACCGCAAGTGGGCAAAGCTAGCCTTTGTTCTATGCTAGCTATACCGTATGTCTTGCATCTTAAACTGTAGGGTATATTTCTTGGGGTAGTCATTGGTGCTATTTACAAATGTTCTAGATTTCTTCCTGAGAACATTGTAGAATTTTATTTCCAAATCCCTTGAAAGTTAGAGATGGCCACATGATTTGTTCTGGTCAATGAAATTGCCTGTGTCCCTCCCTGGAGCAAGCACTTAATTCCCCTTTGTGAGATGCTCCTGTTGTCTCCTCTTCTTTTTATAGGGGAAGTTCGAGAGGAGGTAAGAGTCTTCATCCTTGGGAGACTAAGGTAAGCAGAGCTTCTGGCTGTGCCTCAAGTGTCTCATGGGCAGGGAACAAATTACTAATGCACGGAGATGTGGGAATCATTAATTGTGCTCACATGAGGTAGCCAGTGGCTGCCTTCCCTGAGCACATGCTGCATTCCCCTTATCCTTCTGTCTCTGTAGTGCCATATTCAAAACGGACTAGAATAGAAATAATGTATTTTAGTGTTGATTTCTGATTTTTTTCTTATTTTCTTATTTCTGTCCAATTTCAAATGTCCCTGGCCTATCTGCTTCTGCTCTCAGTACTAGGACACAATTTCTGCTTGTTTTAGTCCAACTATGGTATCTAAAATATAAAAATTAAAATTTTTTACCAAATCATAATGTGGTGTTGATTACACGAGTGACATTTTGTGCAGAATGAAATGTCATCTTCTGATGACTAACTTAACAATCCCTACAGCTCAGCTGTTGCTGGTGCTCTTTGGGGACGGAGGAAAGGAGGGCACTGGCACATGCCCTGCAGCTGAGCTGCAAAGCTAAGGGGCTGTAATAAATTAGCTGACTAGGGGATGTGCGTGCTGCAGTATAAGTCTCTCTGTCTCCTCTGTCCCAGCAGATGGCACAATAACATGCCAATAAATGTAATGAAAGTGTCTCTCCATTTGTCTTTATATGCCTTGAAATATCCCTCACTTTGGAGCATATAATTCTATGAGCAGAAAAAAAAAATCCTCTCTGATCCTTTTTAAACTCCATTGTAAAACAATGGAGTATTCAAAAAAGAAAAGAATCTCAAAAACTGAGACCGTTTCTTAAAGATACACTATTTATTCTCTGCCATCCTTATAGTTACTCAAAAGGCCTGATTTTAATTTTCATGCAAATTTATCATACATCTCTCCAATCTTACTTCATGCGCATCAACACAGAGCTAGTTACTTTATGCACTAGTTCATTAGCCTTCTGTTTTCTTCCACTTACTAACAGTTCTAACAATTCCTGTCACCTCCTCTGGCAGCTGCATTTCCAGACATGCCTTTTCACAGTAATAGGTCCAGCTAATCATGACCCATCTGCTTAATATCTGGAAATTGAAAATTAAGCATGCATGTATTGTTTCTACGATTATATGTTTTCCAAAATCAATTATAATGTTTAGCTCAATTATCACCAAACTTTGAATTTTGACTTGAAGTTTTCATATTTATAAAGCTCAAGTGTTTTGTTTGGGGGGGAAATACATCTATTTACTATAACTACAATGTAATTTCCTAAAGGAACTTTCTGAAAGACAACAAACCCCACAACGTGAAATATAAGCTTGTAGGCTTCTTACAATGTTTAACAAAAGCAATCTGAAGGAAAAAATCCAACGCTTTCTTTTAACCTACACAGAGTATTTAGGGACCACAGGAAATATTTCTTTAGAGTAAAAACATTAGAGTGCTCTGGCCTCTGCTATGAAAGGAATGAGCTCTCCTGTCCTTTGTTGCCCATAACTAAGCCCAAAGGTAGGGGAAGTCCTTTGTTTTGTGATTATGGGTCACCAGCCAGATTCGTGTGTTGTACATTTTAAGATCTTACAACATAATATTAAGAAGAAACCACAAAGGAAAAGAGATTGATAAATCCAATACACAAATATTTATGACTTCAATTCAAATTAAGTTAAAGATATATAAAAATTAGAGTATTTGTAACATAATACCTTCATACAGAGAGAGCTCTTTCATAAATTTGCCACACACATGCACGTGCGCGCGCGCGCACACACACACACACACACACACACACACACACACACACACAGCCTTTCCCTTGCAAAAGAGATGAAAGATAATAATGACCAGTGAACATATGGAAAAAAGAAGGGTTGACCTCTCCAATGACATGTGTAAGTCAGCATGTGGTCAAAGATTTAAAAATCAGAAACAGTCACATGTAATCCTTTAATGTTAATTTTAAGAATGCTTTAAAGGAGAATTCTCGTTTGCTAGTTGCTTCCCGCCCCCCGCTCATGTGAATTTATTAAATTTCGCTGTGAAAACACTTATGATTTTCCAAGAGGAAGCTACCTTGTTCTTAAGCTCTGCAATGGAGACAGAGCTGCACTATGTCAAACTGAGAGCAGCTTTTCTTCCTCTCTGCTCATTTTGGGTTAACATGTTTAAGTAACTAGTGATGGCCCTTTGAGGTGTTTCAGGCACTGTTTCATACCTGCTCTTGAAGGTCACAGGACTGAATTACTCCAAATTCAGTTATGACCACATCATCATATCCTAGTTGTGTTTACAGAACCAAAACATAGTGACTGTCATACAACCATTGTTAATCTTGGTGTAGGAGACTGAACCTGCTCAGGTACTATTTTATGAGATAAAGTCATCTTGATGAGAAAGAATTTAAACAATAGTTTATTTTGTTACCTACCAGAACAACTCTTATCTTGAATTTGTTTCTTTTGAAAGTTCTACACAAAATTGTTTAATGTGTTAATAAATGTCTGCTTTGCTAAAAAAAAAAATCAGAAATAATATTAGGTAGGGCATAGATAGGGACAAAGACACTATTGTATACTTTTGGTGGTCATAAATATTGGTGCTGTCCTTTGAGAATGTAATCTAACCAGATCTATCAAAACTCCTATGCTATAGTCTGCATGTTTTTGTCCCCCCCAAAATTCATCTGCTGAAATCCTCACTCCAAGATGAAGGCATTAGGAGATGGGGGACTTTGAGAGGTGATTAGATCATAAAGGTGGACCCTCAGCAAGGGATTACTGCCCTCATAAAAGAGACGCAAGAGAAACCCTTTGCTTCTTCCACCATGTGAGGACACAGTAAAAAGTTACTATCAGCCTGAAAGTGGGCTCTCGCCAGATAATGGAATCTGTAGACACCTTGATCTTGGGCTTCCAGCCTCCATAACTGTAGAAATAAGTTTATTGTTTACAGGCTACCCAGTCTGAGGCATTTTGTTACAGCAGCCTGAATGGACTAAGATACCCAGTTGGTTTGTGTCCCCTCTAACCACCAATTCTAATTCTAGGTGTTTGTCTTCACCCAATCATTGGACAAGTGTCTATAAAGATTTTGACACACATGAATAGAAAAGATTCTGGAAGGATATGCACAAAAATGATTATCTGTGAATAAAACTTGAAAGATTTCTAGTTTGTTCACTACTTATCTGTATAGTCTAATGTTTCTATAACACATTACTTTAAAAATTATTCTTCTTGTTTTTATTTTCTTTTTCAGAAAAAGAAAGCACTGTAAAAGCATAGAAATGGTGCCTGGAACTTTGGGATTTCCTATCCAGAGTTACCTTCATGTCAAATTTTATTCCAGTTGCTTCAAGAGGGCTGATTAAATGTGAAAAACATAGTAGTAAGCTCCCTAAGGGTAACAACTCTTTGTTTCTTTCCTTGTTACTCCCGCCCACATAAGAAATGGCTTAAGAAAGACATACAGCCTATACCATATTCAGCCAGGAAGTCACAATTTTCCATAGCTACACAATGTTTTTTCAGTGGAACTAGATTCCTGAGCAAAATCTTTTTGTGGGAGTGCAAGATACACCAAGTGGTAGAAGAGAAATTGATGATGACTTCCCTGAGAAGCCTCCAAAGTGAAAAAGCATCCCTTTCTACTACTCCTGGTTACACAGTGGGAAATGCAGCAAGAGAGGAACACCAATCCTTGACACAAAAAACGAAACGTGACTTTAAGGTAGCCAGGCGGGCAGGTGTGGGGCTGAAATGGCTGCTTGCCACAGCAGTAAAAGGCCTGCGACAGCCGCACATTTACAGTCCGTTTGGTGGTGTTTCCAACACAGGCTGAGGGATTTCATTTTTCCCATATAAGGCAACAACAAGGATTTCAAATGGACCAAACATTTTATATTAGTGTCAACAGCCCTAACACAGCTTCAGCTGGCAGAGAACAGGGAAACCAAGAATATCTGCATTTTTTATTTCAGAGAAACTGCCTGAACACCATCTGTTCTCAGCCACCCTTATTCCACCCAATGTGACCCTTTCTGCAGGATACCCTTACCCCAGTCATGTGTCCTGACCCAAGAATTTTAAATCACAATGCTCCCCTGAATACAGAGATTTGGAAAGTTAATTTCAACACAACAATTACTGCAATAAATTTAAAAATAAATAAAAATAAAGACTTGCTCCTCCAACCTTTATTCTAAGAATACATGCCATGCTTTGCTTATAAATCATGGGGGTGGTGGCAGGATGGGGCTCAGGTTACATAGCATGGAAAAATCAATACTCTTTTACTCTAGGATCTATGAACAGGCTCAAGGTCACAGAAATTGAATAGGAAAGCCCACTGAATTAGCAACAGGAAATACGTTGCATAGAACAAAGACAAAACAAGTTTCCAACATACCTTCAAAACACTATGATGTCTATATTTGTTGTTAGTTGACTTTAATGAAACATGACCATTTACAAAATAAACTGTCCCACTCTGAAAATAAGGGGGAACCAATATTTAAATAAATATGGAACAAAGTAAGGCACAAATAGTGATTACATTAATATATTTGATCTTATGAACTCTAAAAAGGAATAAGATGACACCCTCTCAAAAGAGAAAAAGCCAAGAGCTTGTCATTAAAAATAAAAACAATCTACTGATATAGAAATAGAGCTTTATTAATAAATTTGTTAAGAGAATACAAAACATTGTTTCCTTCGTTCATATTGGTATTCTAGATTAAGAAACTGAATTGGTTAAGATCTTAAAAGACCCCAAAGCTTCCCCAAACCTGTAATTTAGTTAAGAATTAGTTACAGAGACACAAGCCTGAAGCACCCATAGCTCTTGCTAACATGAAAAAAGTGATTCCCTCTTTTTCTGTCTTACTAACATTGCTCTAATTATTCTTCTAATAAGAGGCAAAACCAATTAGAAAAATAAAGTAACATTTTGCTGGCAGTAGAGATAAAATATGAGTTCAGTAATCAGCTCCTGCAAACATGCATAACTAATGACTGGAGAAATCGGCCATCCCTAACCACTCTGTTGAGTACATCGGCAGTTGAAGTTAAGGTAAAAAATAGTGAGGCTGAGCAAAACTACATGAAGAAGTAGTGGGGGTTTTTCAAGGTCAGTTGACGACAGCCAGATGGAAATAAGTATTTCTCATATATCCTGGAAGGAAAAGAAAACAAAAATTACCAAAAGGAGCAAAATACAATTCAAAACCTTTGTAGTCCAAAATAAAATTCCTTCAAAGAATACTTTTACTGCATCAGGTAAGAAAGACCAGATTTTAATGATGAAAAGTACCAGTGAAATGGCTTAATTTTCAAATCACACTGTATTTAGCTTACAACAGTCTCTGTCAAGAATGGAACAGCTTATCCAAGGACGTCTTGTTGGTTGTGTTCTTAGAGAGAGGCTAACACAGGCCCCAAATAATAGAGTTCACAAATGTTGTCACCCTCCTCCAAGGTTACAGCAAGGACAGAAGGAACCCAATATGGAGCAATTTAAATGAAAATGTATCAATAGGAGGTATACTGCTCTATGCAGCAGGAAGATGACTTCCAAAGGGACTGGGAGGTAGGGAGATAAACTAATAAGTCCCCACCCCCACTGTGTGCAAGGGGTCAAGGAAAACTCCATCAAGACTTCCACAGCGCTAGGCCACTTAGAATACAGACAATTGCTGTTAGTTTTCTAACACTTTGGGAAACTAATCTCAGGTGACCTCATAGGTCATGGTAAGTGTTTAATTGTCCTTGGAGACATAGGATTTAGAGTTTCCACAGCATCCCTGAAGGTCCTCCCTACTATTAACCAGAGAAAATATTTAAAGTGACAAAGTGCCCCACCCTAAAGAAACCTAATGGGGGACTCTTGAAAAACCAAAATGCATTTATTAAAATATAAAATCAATTTTAAAATTATTGAAAACTAAATGTATATATTAAGCAATATGAGAAGACTGGAATTTAATTTTAAAACAATTTAAAAAATGAAGACCAATCCAGTTTGTCTACACAACATATTCTTATTGGGGTTCTGCTGCTTAAGTGTCTACAAGACACTATTAAAAACAACTTCCGGGGTTTTCATCGTAGTTGTATATTTTATGTCTTTCTCCTTTTCATCTCTATCTTTGGCTTTCTACTGGTTTCAATGTTTTCTCCAAGCCCCATCTGTGGTTTGGAACATAGCTCTCCTCCCACATTCCTTGGGTAGGAGAGAAGCCCAGTCTTCATCGATCAACTTCTAGATAAATGACACACAGGCAATATACTCTAAATACCAATCTGTATCCATTTGGTCTGTATAAAATAGATCCTGAATAAAAATATACTCTGTGGCTTCTCTTCTGACTTTTGCATGGTGTCCTTTGATGAGCAGATGTTTTAAATTTAAATATAGATATTTTTATCATTTCTTTTTGGTTTATACTTTGAGTTTATACTGACCCAAGAATTTTAAATCACAATGCGTCCCTGAATACAGAGATTTGGAAAGTTAATTTCAACACAAAAATTGCTGTGTTGAAATCCTTCCCTAGCTCCATTTTATTAGTTTGAATACTTATTTATTTATTTTTTGTATCGGGCGCTTAATTACTGAGCTACATCTCCAGAGGCCCTTTCTTATTTTTTTATTTTGAGACAGGGTCATGTTAAATTACTTAGGGCCTTGATAAGTTGCTGAGGTTAGCCTTGAACTTGCAGTTCTCCTGCCTCAGCCTCTGGAGCCACTGGGATTACAGGTATGCACCACCTTGCCTGACTCCTAGCTCCATTTCATAAGTAGTTTCTTTTTCTTCTAAAATTTAAAAAAGTCCTCCTCTCTATTTGTAAGTTTTAATCTACCTGGAGTTTTCATGAATGGTTATCAGGAAGCACCTAATTTAAGGTGTGTTCAACAGCACATGTTGAAAAATCTATTTTTTCCCAGGGATATGTTTTGCCTCTCAACCATAGATCAAAATCCCAGAAACAGTACATCTGTTGGTGACAAATGCATACATACTAACTATGTAATTAATATCCCATATATATTTCTTTATCTTTAGAAGTGAGTTAGCTATTCCTGATTCTTTGCTTTGATTACAATTTAATTAAATCAATATATTACTTAGGAGCTCAGTCCTATCTATTAACAAGGTATAGTTCTCCATGTCTTCAAAACACTACTCCCCAGTGTCTTCAAAACTTTTATATTTTTTTTAAAGTTCCTGATATCTTTGGTTGGACCTTTTTATTAGGTTTCTTGTTTATTCCCAATGTACATAAATTAAGTTAGTTTTTATATATTGATCCTATATCCATCGACATTGCCAAGTCCCTACTTATTCTAATAATCTAATTATAACTTTTCTTGGATTTTTGATGCAGATAATTGTATCATCTGTGATATAATAAATACTTTTTTCTTTTCAATCTTTAAATCTGATTTAAATGTTTTTGATGTATTTTTATTATAGAGTTATGATCCCATTTTAGATAAATTTCCTTTCTATTCATAGCTTGTCAGAAGTTTTTATTTTTTAGTACACATGAGTTTTAAAATTTATCAAGTTATTTCCCTATATCTATTGAGATGATCATATGGAGGTTCTCCTATAATGTACTAGGCAACTTAGTAGTTTTTTATGTTTTGTTCATGATAAGCCAAGTTTGTGTTTCTGGGATTAATCCAATTTTATCAGGATATATTATGCCTTTCAAAATATTTGCTATTGACTTCATCAAAATTTCATGTTTTTTTAATCTATGTTTATGGGTGAATCTTTTTTTATTTTCTGTATAGTTGTTGATTTTATTTCAAAGTTACATTCATCTAATCATTTTAGAAAATATGCCCTTCTTTTTCATTTTTCAGAAAAACTTTACAGACACTTGAAGTAGTCATTCCTTGAGAAGTTTAATAAAATGTGAAAGTTTAATAAAACTGTAACATGTCTAAGTCTGGTTTATATCTTATGGGAATATATTAACAAATGGATCTTGATAATGTATACATCACTTTTCATTTCTAGCAATAATGTATAAAGTACCTGTTACCCCATAGCTTTGCAAACAGAGTACATTATTTATCTTTTGAAGTTTTTTTAAACAAGTAATAAATAAGAAATAGTATTTCTTAATTTCTTTTATTATGATAAATTCATTGAGTTTCTTAATTTCAAATATAATGACATTTATTTCCAGAAGCTCTATTTTATTCTTTTAAAAGTTTCAGTTGTGTCTTTAACTGTCTAATGTTTTTTTCCTCATTATTCCAAATCAAACTTTTATTTCATCAAATGTTTTATGCATAGCTGTTTTAAATTCAAGTATCAAATCATTTTAATTTATCAAATCATTTGACTAACTCTATTTGTTCTGTTTGTGATGTTCAATCACAACTACTTGTTTCCTTGTGTATACATGAATTTCCAATTATTGCTTTATGCTTGGGATACACTGTTAAACAAAACAATTAAAGGAACCGATCCTTAAGAATATACATTACCATGTGGAAAAACTAAGAATTAGTAGCCAATAAAACATACAAATAAGTTGTGCTAGAAAATATGTTAGATGTTGAAGAGCACTATGGGAAAAGAATGTGGAGTCATGGAAAGGGGGATTGCAAGAGCCAGGAGAAGGCACAGGTGGCAGTCTTAAAATAGGATAGCCAAGATAACCCCACTGAGATGATGGGATTAAGAAAGTAGACCCTCATTGTTATACAAAATTACATATAAGAGGTTGTGAGGGGAATGGGAAAATAAACAAGGAGAGAAATGAATTACAGTAGATGGGGTAGAGAGAGAAGATGGAAGGGGAGGGGAGGGGGGATAGTAGAGGATAGAAAAGGTAGCAGAATACAACAGTTACTAACAGGGCATTATGTAAAAATGTGGATGTGTAACCAATGTGATTCTGCAATCTGTATTTGGGGTAAAATTGGGAGTTCATAACCAACTTGAATCTAATATATGAAATATGATATGTCAAGAGCTTTGTAATGTTTTGAACAACCAATAAAAAAAAAAGAAAGTACTTAAAAGGGAACAAACCATTTGGATATTCTGAAGAAGAGTACAAAAGGAGCAGCAGATACAAGGTCCTTGCTTGCAGGTGAGGACAGCCAGTGTCGAAAACATTCCAAGAAGTACAAGAAAGCTAGCTAAGATGAAAAGGGAAAGCAGAAGTAGGAGACAGCCAGAGGGGAGATGAGGTCCACATCATGCAGCACCTTGGAAAGCCACCCTCAGGATTTTGGCTTTTACTCCAAGTGACTTGGAAATTATGAGACTCATGTAGGGTTTTAAACAGAGAAGTGACAGGAGTCCGATTCTCTCCTACTAAGAACAGATTCCAGATGGGTAAGTGTGGAAGCAAGAAAATGACCTAGGAGACTATTACCAAGACCTAGATGAGCAGTGATAGAGGGCAGAAGCAAGGTGATGGCAGTGAAGGAGGTGAGATGCTGTTGGATTGGATCTGTTTGGAAGGAAGACTTGAGAGTATTTGCTGATGGATCTGCTGTAAGTGATGCAAGAAACAGGTTGTGCCATGATGGAATCAGGGAAAATTGCGGTAGAGCACTAGGATGGGAGAAATCAAAAGTTAAATTTTAGGTATGTTAAGGTTGGAAAGTCCGTTACACATCTAATTAGAGATGCTAAGTGAACAACTAGATGTGCGTGGGCTCTCTCTCCTCCAGCGAGGAGGTCCACAGAACAGGGTAGAGCAAAGTGTGGCTACAGAGTCACTAATCAGGACCTCCTGAGACTAAGCAGGAAGCAGGTCTGATTTTATTGTGCAGTTACCATGTATATATACTCAGGCAGTAGCAAAGCAGATTACAGACGGCCATCAATACAATGTCTTGCTGACTGTCCTTGCAGCAATCAATCAAGGAATGAAGGGGTCATGGACAAGCACAGGGACCGCAACATGTGGCCTTGCTTCCAAGGCTGTGCCTATGGGGTAAGCAGTTTGCCGCTCATGCGCCTAGCTCGAGGGGAGTGGCCTGCCACTCAGACGCCCTTAAGTATGCCTTGTATGCAGTACTCCATGCACTTGTCCCCACATAGATGGGCAAGTATGGAGTCTGTAGGAAGAACACAAACAGAAATTTGGGAATAATAAACATGAAGAAAGTATTTAATTTCATTAGAATGCATGAAAACACCAAGGTATTAATAAAACAAAGCTTAAAACATGGATCCCTGGGGCAGTTCAGTGTCAAAGAGGACAGGCAGGTGCAGAGGATTCTGCAAAGCAGGATGGAAAGAAATGACCACCGAGACATGTGGAAACCCAGGAGATGTCCCGGAAGTCAAATAAAGGAAGAGAATGATTCACCATGACAAATGATGCTGATAGTCAAAGACAAAGACTGAAAAATAACCATTGGATTTTGCAAAGTGATCTTGCCAGTGACCATAAAAAATAGAGCATTTATTTATTTATTTATTCTTTTAAGACTGGTAGAGTCTAAACCCTGATTTGAGTAAGTATAAGAAAAAAAAAAGGGATAAAAGAAACTAGAGGTGCAAGGATGGTCACACCTCTTGCAGTTGTGCTCTAAAGAGGAACAAAGAAACAGGGGTGAAGTGATAGGAAAGTGGGGTATCAACAGAATTTATATTCATTTATATTTTATGTTGATGGAATTTTCTATTTGAGATGAAGCATCTGGTGATTTAGGAGAGAAGAGAGAGCATGATTAGAACAAAGTGTCTCCACAGGTTGAAGTGATAGAACCTGGCCCATAAGGAAAAGCAAGCATGGAAGTCCAGCCATCTGTGGGTAAGAGGAGGTAGAGGTAGGAGCATGAGGAAGTTCTTATCTTTCTGTCACTGCTTCTTACAAGTATGGGAAGAGCCAACAACCACTTTGGACTTGGATATGCCTGTCATACTTAAAAAAAAAAATAAACCCACCCAATCATCCTCACCATTACATCATGAGAAAATGGCAATACTCTGTCATCTGTTATGGAGTCTAGTAGAGATTTGTACCTCACTCTCTAAGGCCTACTAATAGTCACCATTGAGCCAGGTAGCCAAATCCTCATTTCCTTAGCTGACTCCCATAGTGTATGCATTTACAGTCTTCATCATCATCTCCTCAAACCCAGGTATAACTCCATGTTGTTAAATAGTGAAGAAGTGACAAGTCAAGTTCTGACCAAAATCTGAATTTCTGTCACACTTCACAACCAAGTTATATGAACTAGGATAAAGCCTTCAATTCACAATGCCCCACTTTCCATAAGACTCCTACTCACATATTCTCATGAATAAGTCAATATTGTGTATATCATATTAAACAGCACAAAGACACTATGTTTTGATTATTTTCTCTCTCTCTTCCATGTTGTCCTTATTCTGAATGCCACAGCAAAGCAAATAAACATACATTATGGATAAAACAGACACATCCAAAATGCATTCTCTGCAAATTTTCCTTATGTTCAATTATCTTAGTATGTACCCTTATAAAATCCATCTATCAGTTTTAACGTGTAGATGCCTTCCCAGGAAACATGCATAGAAGATTTCTAATAGACTGATTTCTCAAAAATGATACAAAAACTTATTAAAGGGTAATCTGTAGCTTCCATTAATGCTTGATTATTTTGTTGAATTTTAATAGTTTAAAAATTCCTACCTGATATCTCTCTTGAGCGTGTGCATCTCTTTATAAATACATGCATATTTATATGCATATATCTATATGTATTTTTAGTACATACCTGTGCATTTGGGCTTTAATCAATCTGTAAAACTTACTGAAGTTAGTTCTGATTCTGTGCACAATACAATCTTCACAATCAGATACATGTCAAAGTTTGATGCTGGCTCAATAATATATTGTGCACAAAAAATACATTAAACACATATTACAATACAATTGCAAGGTTTCCGTCACGGAAATATGTAAGGGCATTTCATTTTCAAAGAGTGCCTTTTGCTGTAGGGTTTTTTAAAAAAACATTTTGTGGTGAAAAATTAAATACTAGTTTCTTTGATGTGCTAGTTTCACTGAAAAGATTATATTACTAGAGAAAAGTGCTTACTATTTTTATAATCATATTTCACTTAAGATCCTCTCTGGGAAAAAAAATGTTCATTTGTTTTTGTAGTGGGTCTGGGCAAGGGGTGATAAAAAGCCTTATAGTCCAGGCAATCAAGCTGAGAACAAAGGGCAGGTGTCATTTTTTATTGTGATTGGTCAGAGCTAAAATCAGGAGACTCTCTCCTCTCCCTCTTCCTCTCACCAGAAGCTATTGTGGAATTTACAGTAATCACCCTGGCTGACTACCCAACACACAGCTGAACAGCACACCAAAAATATAATATCTGGGGAGAGGGCCACAACATATTTTTTAAATTCTCATTGTTTTTATTCTTCAACTTGGAAAGATGATTTTTTTTCTAAGAGGAAAGAAAATACTCACCCAGCTATTGCCACAATTCGTATTCCAATAGCCTCCAGACTGCCCGAGGCCACCTGGTTGACTTTTGCCTTGGAGTCGGTCCAGAAAAGCATTATTTACCCTTTAAAACAATGAAAAATGTGTGTAAGTAGAAAGCTTGCTGCAGGGCTAAGAGATTTCTGAGAACCTAATGTGCTGCATTACTGACTGTGGGGATTGCTTGCTCCCTTCAGCTTAGCAGAAATCTACAGAAACCACTTTTCACAGTCACCACATAGCATGCTGGTCACAGTCCTTTACTGGAGCTGGTGCCAGTCTTGGCTCAAGCCAAAGGGGGCACGGATACTTAAACTTGAGAATTTTATTCACCCATCTTGCACTAGTTCATCAACAGCCTTGGCTATTCAAGCAACTGCAGTCCTCAGGGTTACAAAACTCGGAGGCTAAGGGAAAATGGAAATTTCAGCATGAGGCAAAGCAAAAGAATAAAAAAATGGCTCTCCAGAATACTCATGTTGCTCCACAGATGTGTACCCCATTGCCATTCTTGCTAAAGAACCTCCACAAGTGAAAAGTAGGGAAAAAAATGGGAAGAAAGTACAGGAAAAGGGAAATATCAGAGGAGAGAGAAGCTCAAGCTTTAGAAAAAAGGAATGGGTATATCTTTTTCTGATATTCTGTCATACTTGAAATGGCCCGTTTCAGAAATTAAATCCTGAATAAGAAAATTATTATCATCAAGGCCAAGATAAAGGCTACCTGTACAGAGATATTCATAGAGTCATCCCTCAAAATCCACAGGAGACTAGGTCCAGGATTCCCCCGACACCCGAATCCACTCCTGCCCAAGTCCCTTATGTAAAATGACATAGTTATTTGCATATATCTGATGCACATCCTTCCATACACTTTATCATCTCTGATTTTATACAATACTTAATATAAGATCTATATCAAGGGTTGTTTTAGAGAATGACAAGAAAAAAGGGTCTGTAGATATTTCAGTAGAGGCACAATGCTTTTTCCAAATATTTTCAATACATATCTGGTTGAATCCATGGATGTGAAACCTATAGATATGGAGAGCTGACTATATTCTATTTCTGAAACTGGATATGTGGGGGTTCACTTTACAATCATCATTGTGTATTCTTATGGATTTTTCTGTTTCATATTATAATTTTTAATATTTAAAAAATACATCATCATCAGCCTATGCACGGCTGAGTACAGTTAGGTTCTTGGAAGCTAGAGAAATAGCAATGGATGACTTAGGAACTGTGCAAATAAGACCAGAAGCTTCTGGGGAGCAGAAACAGAACCTAGTGCACTACAACCACATGTATATATGTAAAGAAGATGGGAAGCAGACATGGTAGACTCCTTTCCAGTCATAAGGACTGGTCATAGTGAGTGTCTGCAAGTCCTTTACTGTGGGAGATTTGGGCATTTTGAGGAAAATAATGGTTGGGTGGAAAAGTCAAAAGCTGGAGGTTGTTTGTCTCCATGTTTGATCAGTGCTAGCCAAGATGCCAACGGTGTTTTGACTCATTTTGACCTCTGAGTTATTGAGTTGCTGTTTCTGTACAACTCTGTCATGCAGAGGTTCCATCTCAGCTGTGATACAGCTTTTCCCCTCCTGCCATGAGTCTACCCAAGTGCCAAACCCTGGTTGGCCTGGTTCACTGCAGGACTCAATGTGTAAGTCACCTTTTCTCAATCTCTCAGCAGACAGGTTGAACAGTATCTTACTGAGCTGAAGACTTGAAATATGAAGGAAGAGGAAACTGACCCAGACTCCCCTTAAGCAACACAACCAATGGAATTCTGGACTGCCTATAAGTCTGGGGCTGTTTAGATCTAGTTCTTTTGTTAGACAAAGGGACTTCCTCTCATTATCCCCCACCCATCTCACCCTACATCCAAACCAATAGAGGTCTTGTGTGCTCTACCCACTAAACACACCCCTGAATTCACTTGCTTCTTTCCATGGACTCCATTCTAGTTCTAATCTACATCACCTCTCCTGGATACTGCCCCACTCTCATCCTCTGGAATGCAGTCTCCACACAACCACCTCCCTAAGTTATAAGGCTTGCTTCTACTTTAACCCTCCCATGACTTCCTATTGGAAGTCCTATTAGGCCATCTTGTATTGCCTTACTCCTGCCTACTTTTTCTACCTCAATACAATAATCCAACCATTTGGGATTCAAAGTCCATTCCCATGTTAGAGCCTTGCAATTGCTCCTCTCTTGATCAAAAGGCACCATACAAGTACATGTTTCTGCCTGAATCTGTGTGTCTCTGACTGTCCCTTGTACTTGGAGGCCAGCTCTTCAATGAGACCTTCTTCAGTCTATCACCTCTAATGGCTCCCTTAATATCACCCTGTGATAGTCCTCACAGTACTTATTTTTCCCCTTCTAAAATAATCCTGCAGTTTAATTGTTGACTTCTGTTTCTCTCTTCCAGATTGCAGTGTCCAGGTGGTGTAATATCTTTTCTGCCTTATTTACCCCATTTTTTTTGGGGGGGGGGACAGGGGTTACTGGGAATTTAACTCAGGGGCACTCGATCACCGAGCCACATCCCTAGTCCTATTTTGTATTTTATTTAGAGACAGAGTCTCACTGAGTTACTTAGTGCCTCACTTTTGCTGAGTCTGGCTTTGAACTCGCTATCCTCTTGCCTCAGGCTCCCGAGCTGCTGGGATTACAGAAATATGCCTCTGTGCCCGGCTTACCCCATTCTTGAACTTGAACAAAGCCTTGGCAGAGTGAGCCCTGATAATGTACTTATTGAATAAATGAATTTTCTTGGCACAAGTCTGTTTCTGTGAAAACAGCTGCACTGTGAAAATCCCACTACTAGAAGGGACAACATGCGACACAGCTCACTGTCCACCATTCTCACTGCCTCATCAGGAGGCAAGGTACTATGTTCACTCCTGAGCATCAGTAACTAAGAGGGTCCTGGTGGTTGAGCTCTATTTAATGCTTAGGAGTGTCCTCAATTGGGCTGTCCACTGAAGAATGGGTCAACCAGAGATGGTGGGTGGTAAAGAGATTTTTTGTTTCTCTCAAACTCCTATCAAGAATACAAACAGGGTGCACACCTGTAATCCCAATGGCTCAAGAGGCTGAGGCAGGAGAATTAGGAGTTCAAAGCCAGCCTCAGCTACTTTAGTGAATCCCTAAGGAACTAAGTGAGACCCTTGTCTCTAAATAAAATATTACAAAAAGGGCTGAGGATGTGGCTCAGTGCTTAAGCATCCCTGGGTTAAATCCCAGGTACAAAAAAAAAAAAATTACAAGTAGGGTGGGGAGGAAGGAGAGAAGTAGTGTTAGGGAGTGATATTGGCCAAACAATATTATACAAGTATATAACAACAAATCCCTCATTATTTACAACTATAATACACCAATTTTTTAAAATGTGGGAAAAAATACAAATAGGAGCCAGGCTTCAAGGCACATCCTATAATTCCTGCAACTCTGGAGGCTAAAGCAGAAGGATTGCAAGTTTGAGGCCAGCCTGGGCAACTTAGTGACTGTCTCAAAATAAAAAGGGCTGGAGCTATAGCTCACTTGGTAGAGCATCCCTGGGTTCAATCCCCAGTGTTGCAAAAACAAAACTAAAGAATACAAATGAGGGGAAGTTCCACTTTATATTTTTGTTATCTAGTTTGTTAGCTTTAGATTACATATATTAACATGTGTATTATAATATTAATATATGTGATTGTTGCCAAACTTGCCCTCTAGGTTTTCTTCTGAGGGTTAATATGGATATTAAAAGATGGTTCAAATTTCAATAAATCAATTTGGTTCACTCTGGCATTCAACTTGTGGCCCAGATCCTTTCAAGGCTTTGACCACCACTTCCCCCCAAATCCCGGCCCCATCTGTTCTCTCTGGTGTCCCTCCCTGTCTTCTCTTGCTCAAATAGTTATACTGGGTCAGGTTCAAGGGCAGGGGCAAGCTCAAGCTCATTATAGGATTCATTGAAGAGCTCATGAGGAATCCCACCAACTTTCTGTTATAAAACTCAGGATGAAGTTTTATGCTATGTGAACTTCTAAACAGGAGAAAGCATGTTGCCTTTCCAACTCAAAATTGTGCCCTTGGAGAACACTAATCTAGGTCCCCTACACACATACTATATAGCTTTGGGTATGCTATTTGTTCATTAAGAGGATATTGAGTATTGAGTCTTCTCTTATGATACCATAGGGAAGCTCTCTACAAACTCAAGGGACAATCCAAAAGTAAGCTCTTTTCAAAAATTGATTAAGAACATAAAAATTTGTGTTTAATATTTCAAAACTGATCTCTGAGTTTATTACCCAGAGAAACTTCCTCATGGAATAAATTTTGATTTACTTTCATTAGAACCAGTAAAAGAGAAAATAAGGTATCAAAAATAAACAACCCCACCAATATTTAGGTATTCAGTGGTGTTGAAATTAAATCTACAGAATGAAGGCCAAGATTCTATAACAAAAATGTAATCCTTTCCACCTCTAATCAAATAACTTGTCTTTTATTGGGTGCTATGAAAGATAAGGGTTTTTTTTTTTTTTTTTAAGCAATGGGGCCTGTTAAAGTGACACACCACTATTTTAAAAATGCTTACTTCCCAATCTAATCATTCCTCAGAAAGCCAGAGAAATAATTGGCGAGTACTAGCAAATCAGTGTTATAAACACAATACCATTTTTTAACAGAAGTTCTTGTAAACAGTAAATGAGCAAAACCAATAAAAAGGACTAAATTTATGGCCTATTTTATAATAAACAGATAACCATAAAGATCTCTTCCCTGCATCAGCTTAATCAACAAACAGCCAATATCTCAAAGTTTTAAGGTTTCCTGAAGACCAGAGAAACACATAAATTCACATTTGACATTTTAAAACTATTTATTTTGATTGGACGATGGAGGCAGCATATCCATATTGCACTTAGCTAGTGCAATATTTCACTTTTGAAACTTTTGCTTATGTACTATTTGGATGTGAAATTATTTTCCTATATAAGTAGGTAGCAAAAATAATTGTGGCTTAGTCAAATGAGTGAAAAACTGTCAGATTAAAAAGCCAATGTGCATGGTCAAGAAATTAGACCAGGAGGAAGATACAGAGAGGAGAGCATGAGAGCCCTACCCACCATAAGTGGCACCGCCAGAACAGGGAGTTTTGCTGGATACATTTTATGGTCTCTTATTTATAAAATGAAATCAACACAACTCAAAAATACACCTTAGTGGTAGCAGAAAGGTTAAATACAAAAGAAAAGCTATTACTTTCAAAAGAAGAATTTGCTGCTTTAAATCATGAAAGCCTTTACATTAAATTCCTCCCCTAACACACACAAGCACCCCCCCCCCCCAGTGAATTCAAATAGCCTAAGCGCCTCTGGGGAAAATCCTAGCACAGCAATGACAGACAACATGGCGGCCATTAGCACTGTCACACCATGCACATGATTTTACTGGGTACTCTCAAGTGCTTATACCAGGTATTACAAATAACAGAGAGTACTTATACTTCTAAAATTCACTTACTGGTTCTATCTTGAGGCATTTCCCCCCTGTTTTCCATATAAAATAGCTTTGACAAGCTTTAGTACTCAGGTACTACTTATTCTGAAGTAGCCTAGAAATGGTATAGCATCATTGCAAAGGATTATTATGATGTTCTGTTCATGGAAGGCAAATTAAGAGTAACCTAATGTAAATAAATAAATAAGAAAAAAAAGTAACCCAATGTGTTTATAATGCCATCTATCCAGGCAAATGGGATGTTGTGTGTCATGTATGTATATATGTATACATGTGCATACAGATATGTAACAGTTGCCATACCTCATACATACACCATAACTCAATGACAAAGAGTTAAAGGCAATGAGTATCCCTAAACCATATTTAATATTATTACTGTAGTGTTTTCCTAAAGCACTGCAAAACTTTTAAAAGTAATTGATTTTACCAAGGATGCTTATTTTATTAGCCAGTTATACCTCCTGTGCTCGGCTTGAAGGATTCTGGCTCTTTCCTCTTCTTGCTGCTGTCGTTTAGTTTCCAGTAATTTATTCTAGGAACAATAAAAGTTTTAAAATATGGTTTTCAATTAACATGATTGTACAGAAGACATCCAAATCAATTTCATATTTAACCTTAGCTGGTGCAATATTTCACTTTTGAAACTTTTACTTAAGTACTATTTGGATGTGAAATTATTTTCCTATATAAGTAGGTAGCAAAAATAATTGTGGCTTAGTCAAACAGAATAGCTACATGAGTGCAAAATTGTCAGATTAAATAGCCAATGTGCATGGTCAAGAAATTAGACCAGGAGGTAACAAGATACAGAGAGGAAAATATAATGTGACTCAAACTCATCTGTGTCTTACAAAAAAAAAATCAAATTAGTTCCTTTCAGAGTATCACACAATGCTACTTCTTGTTATTTCTATGCCACTTCTTTCCTAATAAATTCATAGCAACTTACAAATTGGGCTCACTTGATGCAATTCTACTGGTGAAGCATTTTACTTCCTGGATAACAAGCACTTGTCTGTTATTGGTTAGATACTAGCAGAATTTTGAGTTCCCTCAAAGGAATACTTTGCTTCAAATAGATCACATTACTATAACTAAATCTATAGCTTTCAACATCCTGATTATCTCTTGAAAGAGGAAACTTCTTCCAGACTCAGTTACTACGTTTATAGTCTCATACCAAAGAACTAGGTGCCATGAGTTCTCTAGCCTTCAAACTTCCTGGAGAAAAGTCTAAAATAAACTTAAAATTCAGATTGACATTTTTAAAACTTTATTCAAAGGCCATCTATATTCCATAGTTCCCAAAATAAAAACACCTGTTACTTACACTGTGATTTTTTCAAATATATTGCTCATCCCATCAGTCCCTGAAGTATAATAAATAATCCTAATTCTTACATAGCTCCAGAGCAAGGGAAAATTAGAACATTTTCAAAATAATTGAATAATACTTATTCATTCTTAATAAGCCTTAAGAACCTAGATGCCAAACCTTGTGCTAGGGTCTCACTCTTCCATAATGGCCTGAAGTGTTCTGTTTAACTTTTATCACTTTAACATATGATATACCTTTAAAAGCCCACCAAGTATCAATACAATTTATTAATACTACCAAGACTTATACTAAAATAAAACCAGATCCTGTGCTCTCCTATTCCTCTACAACCACCTTCAACTCCTGTGTATGGTTTTATCTCTTAAAATTATCTCCTCAATAGCATGTAGATTCTTCTATTTATTCATTTTTAATGGCATTTTTTTTACTTCCTACTGTAGAAAAAGATTTCTCTATTTCAACCTCTACCCCAACCCTAACTGCCCCTCCTGGTGTACCTCATTCTCAGCCTTACAACTTTTTTAATGTTCACTGTGGTGGTGGTGGTGGGGTCTATAGCTCCTGGCTTTAGGCTTTTAATTCATCATCCTGTTTTCAGGTCCAGCTTGCAGAGGTGCCGGGTACCTCCAACACCTGAACTTTAATCAACTTGTGTTTTACTGTTCCTTGCACAAGGTTTTTCCTGTTTCACTAATTATCTACTTCCACCTGTTACACTGAACATCTACTTTCCCACATCAAAAATTTGGCTGTTTTGTTTCTTTTTTCTGTAGTTTCTTTGTCTGTTCTTTTGTTCTTATAAGTTTATGCCTTTAAAAAATTCCTGTATTTTTTTTTCTTGGTGGAACATGTGGAGAGGAGAACTGGATATAAGGAAATAACATATTTTTAAAGTATGATATTTAACTAGAAGATGTTATCATTTTCAAATAATTTTTTTTCCAGAATTCTGTTACTTGACCCTCAAAAAAATTCTCAAAGGTAGGCAGGTAAACAAGTATTATTGATAAGTGAAAAAGCAATATTAGGCTTGTATTCCAGATGAGAAAACAGGATCGAAGATACAGTTTAGGTTGTCAAAAGCTAAACAGATCACTAGTAGCAAAATAAAACTGGGGCTTAGGTTTTCTTGTACCTAATCATTTTCTGCAAGATGCATCCAAAATAAGCAATTAGGAATAAGGGTAACTTCATAGCAGTTTATGGTACTCAAGTATGAACATCCATGTCCAGGATTTTGGGATCCATTCACACTTAAATGTATTAGCAGAACATATCTAACTGTGTCTAAGTCAAAATCCTTCTTGCCAAACGATGCTAATTCTTTTTATATCCATTAACCCATTTTTTTTTTGTGAGAAACAACTTTAATAGCCAGTCCATTCTACATTTAATATCATGAAGACTGAACAAACTAAGCCCTGGAATGTGACACAAAGAACTATAAGACACTTATTATGTGTTTATATATGCAAATGTGCACACATATGTATGCATATAGTTACATTTTACTTTAAAATAATTTAAGATAATCTTTCACACTTGGTAAAAGGATTGCATAATCTATCTGGAAAAACAAAAACAACTATGCAATTATAGCCATGAAAAATCCTGTAAAAGAAAATAAATGAGAAAGAACAGTTCCAGCAAATACTAAAACATCATGAAAGTTAGTAATTAAAACAGTTTGAGTCTAAAAATAGAACTAACACATGGAAATATAGCTTCTCCTTAAGTAGTTGTGTTGAACGAATGCAAAGAGGGATAGTCGGTAAATGATGGTAGATTAAACAGCTACTGAAAGAAAATCGAAATTAGATCTCCTTTATTTGATGTATAAAAAAGAATTATAAAGGTCTAATATTTGGACCTAAAAGACTGAGCCATACATGTTTCCAAAGGATACACAGGTATATACCTATAAATTTAGAGTGATGAAGGTCCAGAAATCATAAATGAGAAAAGAATGATAAATCTGAATAAGAAAACCCAGCCAGGCATAATTGTGCACACTTTCAATCTCAGCTACTCCGGAGGCTGAGATAGGAGGATCACAAGTTTCAAAGCCAGCCTTGGCAACTTAATAAGACTCTGTCTCAAAACTTTTTTAAAAGGGCTGGGTGTATATCTCAATGGTAGAGTATTTGCCTAGCATCATAAGGCCCTGGGTTCAATCCCCAGCACCAGCACCACCAACACCACCAACACCAACACACACACACACACACACACAAATCATCATCATCATCATCATCCTTAGTTTTCATTTGGATAAAATAGCATAAACAAAATAAAAACAAACTGTTAAGAAATATTTATGACACAGGTTCATTCATTTTTCTTTCATTCATTCGCTGAACAAATAGGAGACAGGCTTGGATCAATGGAATAGGGTTACAATGGTGAACAAGATAGATAAGATCCTTGCTTTGTTTATTTTATAAAGAAAAGAAACCCATAAACGATTGAGAAAAACATCCTATCATAAAGCCGGCAGGGCATTTAGGCACACTGATATGAGACTAGTGGCTCAGTGAGTATTTTAGGTTGAGGACCAAAGAAGAAGCTAAGACCTCATATAACTAATAAGGAAAAGACCAACCAAGCAGAACAAGGGTCAAAAATAGGAACAGGCATCTCTTGAATAAATGTCAGATTATCATTCAAAATCATCATCATTTTTACTCAAAAAATTGAGTGATGAGATAAAAATTTTTCTATCATTTTGGAAAAAAATCAGAAAACTTTGACAGAAAATCAGATACATTCAAGTGCACCTAGATAAGTGAAAAAGATAAGCGAAAACTAATTCTGTTTGTGGAGGAAAAATTAGCAGTAGCCATCAGGATTTAAAATATACACATTTTTTGCATAAGTGTTTTTAAAGTACATGTATATGATATAGTATATGGATATTTACCATTGTCATTGAAACTGTAAATGTTCAGGGAAAAATGTTAATGTCCACAAATAAGGACAACTTAGACCATCCACACAATGGAATACTATGAAACTGTTACAAAGAATAAGAGAGGTCTGGTTTGGGGGGAGGGGCAGAGAGGGCCTATGGAGAAATCTCTAAACTATATTAAGCCATCAAAGGTAAATCCAGAGCATTTTCTTGTGATCCCTCCATATAAATAGAAAATATATGCATACATCCATTTTAACTTTTATATGTTGCCATATATCTTATTTAAAATGTTTTATGGGAAAATACACAAGAAAATGTTAGCTATAATTACCACTGAATAGAGGAACTTGGAGGGCAGGGGAAGAAAGCTTTAATATCAGATATAGTTTTTGTTTGTTAATGTTACAACTTATTACTTCTTCATTCCATCACTAAAGATTTACTGCCTAGATACTGGCCAAATTATGTTGTTCTATTGCTTGCATCTAAGAATATGTAACAACACATCCCATCATTATGTACAGCTACAATGCACCAATTAAAACAATGTGGAAAGAAAAAAAGGATGTCCTGCCCATGTGGAAGGCCATTTGTTTCTTTCTGCTCTTCTTTATTTAAAAATTCCTATATATATGTATCTTTTAATATTTAGAGATGTAAAAGAGGAAGACTATTGTTATAAAGCTAAGAACTGCTAGAAAGAAAGAAAAGAGGAAGGGAAGAGAAGAACAGAAATCATCCCATTATGAGGCAGGGATGGGGGACAGCAGATAAAAATCTGGTGGGAAAGGGGACAGGCTGCTGATGAGGCATCACCATGAAAGAACATTGCTGTAGATGGCAGAAGGGAGGTGCTGGCATAGCCGCACTCAGGATTACTATAGCTAGCAAGGCATATTTACTAGGAAAAGGACAGTTTTTTGTACCAAAAAGGTTACTTTCAAAGATAATTTGTTCCACTGAACTGACAGCCACCAAGGATGTATCTGCACGCCTTATAAGCATATTTTTGGTTCATTTACTGGGTTCTCACATGGAAGTGCAATATACAGTTGGACAAATGCAAAATAAGTTGCTCTTGTTCCAAGGACTGAGCTGGAAACATTAAGAGAATCAAAACACTGTAGGCAGTGGGGAGATGACTTACAACATCAGAGACAGTGTTCCACTCACCACAAATTTGCTAAGCACCAACCACCTTCCAAACACCTAGATTCGTGCTGAAGGCATGGATACAAATGAGACAGACCTCTCCACAAAAGAAATCACAGTATAATGAGGGAGGCAGACGCTGAGACAACTGTGATATGAAGCAAAAACAAATGCATTGCTGAGCATGAGTTCAAACAATGATGTGGAAATACAAAGATGCAAACAAGAGAAATGGGTGTTCAACATTTTATTTATATCCACCAACGCTCTCCAAGGAGAGGAAGCATGGCTTATCACTGTGCTACACAACTCCCTACATTCAGGCAGAGCTCTACATAAAGAGGGCCTTCAGTGAAACACCACCTTGGAGATGCCAAGAACAGAACTTCCTGTAAATGTTGTCCAGGTGATCTATGGTAAATGAGGACAACACTGCACACAGTGCCACTGCCTGCGCATTCCAGGGGAGGTGTGGGATAGCACTAAGGGTCTGTGCTTAGAGCCCAAGCTACTAGCAAGAAGTAGAGGGGTTGCCATCTCCCCATAGAGGTTGTGAGAATCAATGCTCTGGGCTCCAATTTGCTAGCAGTGCCCTGCTCTATCCAAGGGTCAGCTACACAACAGATGGGTGAGTGCAAGTCTGACGGCTTGAGAAACCTGATGAGGCTAGAGTGAAAATCTTGCTCGAAAGCAACGCTCTAGTATAGCAATTGAAGACAAAGATAGAGCCATTTTAAAATCATGTCTGAATCCCACTGGGGCGTGTTCTGACATGGTTCAGCCTGACTGCTTCAAGTAAACATTAAAGTGCCATCGCCTGGCAGGAGAAACTTCTCCCAGGAGAGGATGCTCTCTCAACTCAACAAGAGGAAAAAAGGATGGTGGAAGCAGGAGGGGAAAGGCCAAGAAGTTAAAAAAAATAAATAAGTAAATAAGAACTACTGCCTTTGAATGTTAAATCCAGAAGAACTTTTAGGGGAGGAAGAAACCTTAAAGAAACCCTGTTCTGAGGATCTTCACAGTGACACTCCTCCACCCCAAAGATGACCTTAGCTAGGAAGAATGAGAAGAAAACAGGGAAACACACTCAAAAATTAAGAGAAGACAAGCCAAATCAAAGGAAATAGATACTAATGGCTGTAGTAGGAAAATTTTTTTAAAAAATAGCACAAATATGTCATTTTAATGTAAATATAAATAAATGCACTCCAGCTTCAATAATCATATGTGTAGTTCTGTATCTCCCACCTAGAAATAATCCCTATCAACTTTCTCCTATTTAAAAAAAAAAAAAACACTTTTCTTTCATAAAAGTCATTGATTTAGTGTGAAAAAATGTAGATACTACAGAAACTATCAAGAAAAACAAAATAGCTGGTACAGTGGTGCACCCCTGTAATCCCAGCCTCTTGGGAGGCTGAGGCAAGAGGATCATGAGTTCAAAGCCAGCCTCAGCAATTTAGCAAGGCCCTAAGCAACACAGCAAGACCCTGTCTCTAAATAAAATACAAAAAAAAAAAAAAAAAAAAGGCTGAGGATGTGGCTCAGTGGTTAAGCACCGGGTTGAATCCCTGGTACCAAAGGAAAAAAAAAAAAAAAGAATAAAAGAAAGAAAAACAAAACAATCACTCATAAAATTCCCTACACAGAGATAAGCTCCTTTAACATGTCAGTATATTTTCTTCTTGATTTACACACATAGATTATAACTTCTTATCACCTTGGGTCACATTTTCAGGCTTACCACGTGTTAGGCATTAGGATAAATTCTACATGCTTTCTCTCATTTGATCCTAGAAACAATGTCATGAGGCAAATAACATCACTATCAGCTATAACAGATGAGGCTTAGAGAAATGAAGTAATTTGCACAAAGTGCAACAAGAACAGGAGGTAGGTTTTAACATTTGTCTGCACTCTGTTTTATAATCTATTTTCCATGTACGTGAGCACATTTCCATGTCATTAAAATATGGTAGTAACTGCTGCAAAGATTTCTCAACTCTTAAAAACTTCAAATCCTCTATCACTGAACAAATTGCTTCACAGTTTCCATTAATCTCATTTTTAAAATGATCAAATTTGTACATCCATCTTGTATACATCTTTGCTTATTTCCTAAGAACTAACGTATACCTTTTAGAACTAACATTTTAACTTTGAGGAAACTTCAGAATTTGATATTGCCAAAGAGACTTCCAGTTTATTTTGTCCCTTGAGTTATTACTGGATGAGTTTGCAATAGTCTACATTAATAGCTACTAGTGTAAGTCCTTGCCCCCAAAAATGCACAAATGATTCATATTTTTTCTAGAGTTTCTTATTTAATTTCATAATTATTCTCCAGGTTAAAATTTAAAAATAGTTTTTCAAACTAACTCAAAGACCATTGAAAATTTTATTTGAATTGCATTAAATTCATACTTAATTTGGACAGAACTATAATTACTGCAATATTGAGTTTTACCACTCAGGAGCATTAGCCATCTCTGCTGTATTCAAATTGATTTTTATGCATTATAGGAAAGCTTTTGTTTTTCTGCTATTGAACAATTTTTTACATAGTTGGTCTTTGATGGGATCTTTTTTATCCCATTATATTTTTCTAATTAATTTTGCTGGTATTTAAGAAAGCTGATTCGTGTGTGTGTGTGTGTGTGTGTGTGTGTGTTTTACACATTTTGTAACCAAGTCTCCTTTATTGAACTCATTTTCTTCTACCATGTCTCAGCTAATTCTCCTGGTTTACAGGCAAATTGCTCTTGTTCATAAATATAATTCCAATTGAAAAACTGATTTTGAATTTTTGTTTCTTATCAAGCTGGCTAAAATAATTTCCAAACTTTGATCCAGGCAATATTAATAGTCTTCCTCCAAATAACTTTGCATTAAAGGTTTCCCATTAAATACCTTTGAGAAGCATTAGATTAGAATTCTCAGGATACCGATTCATGTAGGGATTGCAAACAACCTTATGTTTTTCACTGTTCTAGAACTTCACCACTAAAGATAATGTTGGTTATTGCTTTGGAAAAATATGTATGTCAAGAATATCGTTTTTTTTTCATAGTTCACTGAAGTGTTATGGGTGGGTTTTTTTTTTTTTTTTGACAAAAGTTAAAATTTATCAATGTCTTTTTTGTTACTAAAGAGATGGCCAAACATTTTTTCTCTCAATTTTTTTTTCCTATTGCAGTGATAAGATATAGTAAGTTATAGATGGCTAATTATCTTTGTATTCCTAGAATAAACTCTACTTTGCCTTGGTAAAATACTATTTCAGAGAAAAATTCCAGTAGTTGAATTTTCTTTTTCTTTTCTTTTTTTGGGGGTGGGGCAGGTTACTGGGGATTGAACTCAGGGGTACTCGACAACTGAACCACATCCCCAGCCTTATTTTGTATTTTATTTAGAGACAGGGTCTCACTGTGTTGCTTAGGGTCTCACTAGTTGCTGAAGCTGGCTTTAAACTCACAATCCTCCTGCCTCAGCCTCCAGAGCCACTGGGATTACAGGCGTGCACCACTATGCCAGCTGAATTTTCTTTCAGACCTCAATCTCTGTCCTTATGAGACCGTGTATCTACAAGGGTTGGGGGGGGGGGGCACGCATATGCACATGTGCTTCGTTTATCAGAGTGTAACATCATGGGGATGATAGTTAAATAAAATACTAAAGTGTTTCATCTTTTCCTTACTCTGAAACATTTATAAAGCACACACGAAAAAAAAAAAAAAAGTCTGTTCTTGAACATTTGAAAGAACTTGCTTCTAAAATTATCCAAGTTTAGTCCACTGGGGAAAGTAATTCTCAGAAAACTTTCCAAATCGTGAATTTTCATTAGCCTTTGCGTATTTTAATTCTTTGAGTCATTTTATAGTTATATTTTCCTGGAAAAAAATTTCACATGATCCAGATTTTCAATATATTAGCACAGTATTACCTGTAGGAATTTATATGTAATCTTTTCCAAATCTATGGTTCCAGTTCTTTACTTATAATGTTGTGTATTTGCTAATCTCTTCTCAATTAGACTTCCTGTAGATTTATTTTGACTTTATCAAAAAGTAAGTGGCTGGATTTTTACAACAGCTATTTCTTCACGTTTTATTATTAATTTCTGTTCTTATCATAATTACTTCCTTCAGTATCATTTAATATTCTTGCTCTAAATTCTTGGATTGGATGCTTAATTCGTTTCTTTCCTTTGTTAGTACTGAATGGATTAAAGTTTTAGTTTTCTTTCTCTGAGCACAGCTTTGATGCATTCCCCATAAAATGTTTTCACTAGAATTTTTTATGGGTTCCTCAAAAATTTTGTCACCCAAAATATTTTCTGATTTTTTTTTTGGTGTTTTGCTTTCTAAACGACTATAAAATTAATAACCATGCAAAAATCAATAAGTGCAATCAGCCTATCGGAGATTTTAAGAAATTCCTAAAAGGTAAAGGGAAGATAGAATAAGTTACCTGGGAAAGCACATGCGTAGGATCAACTGGAGCTGGGTTGGCAGTGCTTCTGAAGGAGCTCTCAGAGCGAATGCTGGGGTGACCAACTGGAGATCTGTATTGAGAGCAGCCTGGTGGTGGGCTCTGTCCCCTCCCACTCTTGTGCTGCATAGCAGGAAGCACCGACACATCTCTCTGGGTAAACAGGGAAAGGATAATGGGAGATGGTCTCAGAGGAAAAGGGTAAGGTCCCTAGAACCCAGGCCACAGGAAAAAAGAGGAGCTACCACACCCAGAAGACAAGCTCCCCATTCACCATACTTAGCAACATGTCCAAATAAACATAAGAATCACCAAACATTTGAGGCACAAAATCACCGGCAATAAAAATTTAAATGGAAAGACAAAAAATATACAGTTTGCATATTAAATACAAAACTTTAATGTTTGTATAATTACCATCAATGGCGAGATGAGAAAGAATATTGTAATCCTTAAGCAGAACCCTGCTATGAAAAAGTAAATCAGCTATCTTGGTGAGTAAACAGATTCAATACAGGTGCCAAATAAGTACGGCAGAGTTTTGAAATAATCTACTGATGTAGGATGACCTAGCTAAGGACTTCTACCAGAATGAAAGGAAAAAAGGGAAGAGAGGAAATATAAGAAACAATGAAGAGATATGGAGAAGAGATATGGGATATCTGAAATCCATTTGATAGATGTCCCGAGAATGGCTCGCAGGGACAGTGCAGGGGAATAAACATAAAAGAGAAAAGGAAAACTGAAAAGATACACATATGTTCCGATTAAGAGAGACAACCAAAGGCTAGGCAAGATTAAAAACAAAAACACACACCGTAAAATTTCTGGTTGCAGAGGAAGGGAGGCAGAAAAACAGAAAGAGAGGCAATAAATAAATGGAACCAGAGAAAGTGCAACCAGAGAGTCAGAAAAATAAAATATCATTAATGAAAAGTAAATTATGCGACAAGAATACAAACATGAAATTACACTAGCAACCATAATAAATAAGAACAAATCAAATCTACCTTTACTATAAAACTGAATAAAAGGAAAACCATCCATTTTGGTCACTAGAAATCTATTTTAAACCAGGTGACACAGGTTAAAATTAAATGAGAAAAGAAAATGCCACATAAATGATAACAACAAGAACAAAAAACAGGTACAGGAAATATCAGAATGAGAAAATAGACCCCAAAAAAAGGAATCAAGCTGAAAATCATTAAATGGAAAGAACAGAATACTTCAAATCAATAAAAAATCTATTCTGAAAGACTTTTGCCTTAGTCTCAATGGTTGCGAATACAGCTCATGTCCATAGGAGAACCCATCACAATCTAGGAGAAAGGAACTCCTGTGAACCACTTGGGACTGAATCCTAGGGCTGGGATGGAGTCCCCTTTCTCTCACACACAGACTGTGCAAAGTGGGATGGATGCATGAAGAAAAATCAGGGTTGTAGGAGAGAAAGAGGCAATTAACATTATTATAGCTCCCTGAAGTCATCACTACCCATAATTCATTTCCTTACAACATTAATTACTATACAGGGGTGAATCACTATAAAACAAAATGTACAATGTTTTCTTTCTTTGCCTCATTTTAATTGCTATCTCCTCCATTAAAATGTAAATTTCAGGAGGGCCAAGACCTTGTCTATACTGTTCTTTTTTAAATTATTATTTTACTTTATCAAAGACCTTTATTAAGTGGAGAAGGCTTCTATTTCTTTTATTAAATCAATTTTAACTGACACAAAAGAACATAAAAATTGTGCACATTAACAAGGCATCATGTGACATTTTAATGAATGTGCACATTATATAATGTTTAAAGCAAGCTAAACACATCTATCTCCTCAAACACTTTATGGTTAAAGTGTTTCTTTATGGTTAAAGTGTTTACATTTCTTTATGGTTGAAACTTCAGTTCTTTTCCTCTATGTTTCTGAAACCCAGAGTACACTACTGGTGTGTATAGTCAACATCCCATTCAGAACCAGGTGACACAGGTTAAAATAAACTAACTATAACTTAGTATCTGATGATCAACATTTCCCCTTCCCACCACCCCCAGCTTATTCTGTTTTTAATTGTAGCTTCAGCATCTTGTGCAAAGTTCAACACATAATAGGAATTCACGTTGATAGAATGAATGAATGAACAAATACTGGGATAGATTACTCTGAGGTAGATCAACCAGAAGAGCACAGTTTTGTTTTGTTTAGTTTTTTAAGTCAGAAAAAGAAACCTTTAAAGGTTATCACACAGTGTTACAGAGTTATAGAGAGATAGGTATTGCAAAAAAGACCACTGAATTGTATATTGAGAAGCCTCTTTACCTTTAAAGAGCAATTTCAGTAAAAGCATTTGTGAATATGAACCAGATCATAAGGAATTAAGAATGAAATGCATAATAAACAAGTTGGTTGCAGTAAGATTTTGTCTTTCTTCTCCCTTGTAAAAACAGAAGAAGGGGTTATTCTGAGGATAGCAGAATCAAGGAAGGAGTGAGTTGGTTGGTTTATTTTAGAATGGTAGGAGTGAACATACTCACTAACAAGAAAAAAACAACAGTCAGTGAAGAAGAATATACAGAAGGGATAGGAAAAAAGAAAATTCTAAATAAGTATCTAGAAGAGGGAACTGAATCAAATTAAAATACTAAGAGGTTAACCTTAAGGATAAACCTATTGTCCTCAGAGGCCAAGAAGAACATGAAAGTCAGAGATGCCTGGAGCTAAATAAATGTATTGAGACCTTAATTTAATTTAAATTATCTCTCTCTGAATTACTCCATAGCATGCATTCAATGCATGTTTGTTGAATGAAAGTAATGAATAAATAGGAATAGTTGCAATGACACAAATGTATTGTTTTCTCTCTCTCCTTACCATAAACATGATATTATTGCTTTCTTAGGGTAAATCACTGAGTGATAAGAAAGGAGAGAGTCTACCCATTGGGGAATGCCTTCAGTGGATACTTCCCAATGACAGATTGAGCAAGGAGGGAGGAAAAGCAAAAATAAAGTAGAACAGATGGGTAAATATCCTTATATATTTTACTGTTATAAGTCCCTAAAGAAGGAATTATCTAGGTACTAAATTTATTCATTTCACTGACAGCCATATCCAATAATCTAGATAAAAGGAGAGGTAATAAAAATGTGTTCAATCAATAACCAGAAAACACATGTCCCAAAATTTGTCTAAATCTAGACTAAAAACAAGATTAAGAAATAAAATGTTTAATTTTCAGTGTTCAACAGCTCAATCTGAAAATGAAATCTGATTTTCTAAAGTCTTTAGTATTCACCTTGTGAAATGTTCTACTTTTAGTAGTTTTCATGTCCCAAATATATAACCAAACTTTATAAAACACTACTTAAAATCCACAAGAAGTTCTTTTTGAGGAAATCATGCCTACAACTGACTACAGTCTCCTTAGTAACTAAGTACCTCAGAACATGATATTAAGTTGGAAGCTCACATAGAGAGTCAAACAATTTCACATCATTTTTCAGACATTATTGAAAATACAATATGAATATACACCAGATTTAGCTTCTACTTAACAATTATTAGAATCTTGCTGTAATGCTGTTTATTTAACTGGGGATTTTAAGATGAAGAGATTGTCAAAACAAAAAGATAGTCGCTTACTAAAAAATACTAAGAGGTAAAAATGTTTCATGGTTCTTTATTGCTTACATAGTAGCTTAAACACTAAATTTTCAACTCAATGTTATTTTTCTCAATGGTTTAATGACCACCCACAAGGCACAATATGGTCACTAAAGTCATTTATACTGCCTGCTTCATGAAACATGAGTGAGGAAGGGGTTGACCACTATTGGGAGGACTGTGGCACTTAAAAGGATCAAATTACTTCACAATGTGATTTTTACATCTAATGGCTATAATAAATATCCTTGTGAAGCAAAAGACATAAGTAAAAATAAATTCAACCAAGGAAATCAGAATGGGAGTTAGAATTCTAGTTAATTGTATAATTGGAAAAAACAGGTTTGAGAGATGTTCTAGAAGAAGGTTTCTATCAACCACCAATATAGCAAGAAGAATATTAGGACAGGAGAATATGATATTCATCTGATCGCTGGTCTTCCTCAGCATTCTCATCTCATGCTAAAGAGCTTCTGACCCTCTGAACCTATTTATCAAAGGTGAGAGCCATCATCATTTCCACTTGGGAAATTACATTTGGTTGATGTGAATGGGCCCTTCAGCACTTGGAGATATCTAATTTATTTCACTTATTTTTATTGCTTAAACAATTTGTAAAGCCTCACATATTTGTGTACATATGTAGTATATCTTTATGTATTATTTTAGGTGAATACTGAAGCCAGTTTCATAACTCTGTATGCCTACTTTGCTATGTATCATAGTATTCTTTGGCTACCATCTATAATTTCACAAAAAATGTCAGTGATGTTGGCTATGTTTTATTTTGCAGATCAGAAGTCCACACTTGCTCCATGGTCTTTTCCATGAATTGCCATCACCAGCTGTGTAGCACACCGCAGCCTGCAATGGAGGCTAGGTATGCCAATGATGTTGACCAGAAGGATCCATCCCTATAGTCTTAAAATATGCCTAGAATTCACCTCTTATTGATGTTTGTGTTATTTTTCCAAGATTTTCATGTATCTAAATATTTCTGCTCAGAAGCCCTTAAAAAATACCCACTACTTCAAGCAAACAATTAGCAATAACTAGTAGGGTCTCGTAAATACCTTCTGCTGTTGTTCATCTTTCATCTTTTGCAATCGTTGGTTTTCCTTCTCTCTTAGAGAATCTTTATAAGTTCGGTTACCAGCCTGTAAAGATACAGTGGGGAAAAGTCCATAGGAAAAACATCACCACAGTACATCAATCTGCTCACAATGGACTGGTGCTAATAATTCAACCTCTGTACTGAGCAAACACTAAGCTCTCCACATACACTGGCTTATTGAGTGATTTATGCATGCATCTGAAGACATCCCTTGGGATATATAAAAAGAAGGCTAGTATAAGCACAATCATCCAGCACATTTTAAAGGATGATTTAACTGTTTGTTTAATTAAGCTTTAAAATTTTCCCCTCAGAGATAACCAACATAATTTATTCCTTCTGGTAGAAGTTGAAGATATTTTCAAGAATATCCCAACTAGCTGATGAGTCCCTATCAGAGACAGGCAATAGTGGCACTGACATTAGAAGCACTGACATGTCCACTGCTCATTAATGATCTCCTATTAAATTTGTCAACTGGCGATTGATACCATATAATTCCAACAATGCTTTTTTTTTTTCTGAATTTTTGCAACCCTAATCTGTACCTGAAGCACATTTCTAGTTCTGAGAGGGAAAGCAAAGCCTGTTCTGGAGCACAGGAGCCTCAGGAGAGCCAGGACCTGCTGTAGGATGTCCTTCTGTCATTCTGACCCACCAACCACATCAGGGTTCCACACACTGGCCTAGTGATCACATATTCAGAAATGTATGAGATTTCAATTACAGAGGGTCCCTGATTTACAATGGTTCGACTTGTGATTTTTCAAGTCCATAATGGTGCAAAAGTGGTACACATTCTAGAGAAATTGTATTTCAAAGTTTGATCTTTTCCCAGAGTAGCAATATGCAGTAAAATACTATCTCTACATGCTTAGCAGGGGCAGTGAGCTGCAGCTCCCGTCAGACCCATGATCACAAGGATAAACCACTGGCACTCTACACTGTGTGTGTTGCTAAGCTAGGCTATTCAATGAAGCAGAAGTATTAAATGCATTTTCAATCTTGTGATATTTTCAACTTAGGGTGGGTTTATTGGGATATAACCCCATCAAGAACATCTGTATTCTGTTCATTTGTCATGTGCTTCTTCTCCCTCGCATTGACTTGTAGGCCCAGCTCCTGAAAGGCAGAGAGGACAGCCTAAAACCCAATCCTTAGGAAATTCCACTCTTCTCATAAAACTCCCAGCAGCACCGGGGCATCAGGCTACATATTTCAGGCCTCGTTCTCTGAACTAATAATCCATAAAGTTCATGTAGGCTGTTTCCCCCTTTTTCCTTACTGTAATTTTTTCTCAAGCACTTCTTAGTTCATTCTCCCATTCCTGTCACTATAAAAACCCATATATCATCAAACAGTAAGAACCATTTTCCAGTGAGAGAGAGAAGCTTTTGGAATTGTACCATCTCCAGGAATACCAATGAGAATAGTGGAGCTCCATGTGTTCAGAAATCCCTCATATCTCCAAAGTCTACTACATCAGACAGGTAAAACTACAAACTATGATTGTCTTTTATCTATATGCAAACACAAGGGGACTGTGAAAAGCTACTGAAGGTAGGGAGTGTCTCTCTGATGACCCCTTCTTTTTTATATTACAGAAGGTGAGTCTTCATCGCAAATATTTCACATAAGACCCAGCAAGCAGGGAAGAAAAGAAAGTGAGGGAAGAAGACAGTTTCTGTTTAGAAAATTCAAAAGCAGAGTACTATATACCATTAAAGTAAATATTATGACTTAAGCAAAGAATTGAAATTCTATTTGAATACCTTCCTTTTAAACTTACTGCTTTGTTCTTATATCAGAATATGGGTCCTAATTTTCAATTGAGAAATATAATGGTTATTAGACATAAAAGGTGTCATTTAAAAGGCCACAGAAACTAGGAAGTCACATGGTGCCTTTAGATATGGAGTGTTTAAAGTCACTTGCAGTCTTAATGCATGCTTACCCAGCTGTAATCTGTAGACAGGGCAGGAAGTTTCTGTTCAAAAATAATGAGAGGGGGGAGAAAAAAACTTTTGATCTCTATTTTTCTTAGTTCTTAATACCAGAAATGTCTAAGTTACTGTATCCACAAAATTTTTCTAGCATTAAATATTCATTTAATATAATATTTATGCTCAACTTTTGTCATTCAACAAAGTACATTTTGCTCATCTTCCCCCAAAGCTATGCTGATAACATTTATTCAATAAACAATATTTAAGTGTCTCATCCGCAAGCACTGTATCAAGACACAATCCTGGGGCCTCAAGCCTCATGTGGAAGTCAGACAAAGAGAGCAAGCATTTCAGTATTGTAATACTATACTGTCACAATACAGGAAAACATTTAATTAAACTAGATCAAGGACATCTTCTCCAAGTGGGTGAAACTAAGCTGTGTTTAAAAAAAATAAGTAGGAATCAGACTAAGAATGGAAAATGCCACCAAAGCAACAAATGGAAATTAGCATTGTAAGAGTTTGCTAGGGAAAGAGAGAGAGCCAGCGAGAGAGCTCGCTAGAGAGTTTGCTAGGGCTTCCAGAACAAAGTGCCACAGACTTGTAGCTTAAAGATCAAAAATTTACTATCTCATGACTCTGGAGGATAGAAATAAAAAAATCGAGGTCTCTTCAAGTTGATTGCTTCTGTGAGGGGAGGATCTATCTGTTCCAGGCCTTTCTCCTTGACTTGTAGATGGCCATCTTTACCCTGTCTCTCCACATCATGTTCGTTTTATGCATGTTTCTATGTCCAACTGGTTCCTTTTATAAGGATCCCTTTCATCCTCATTAGAATCTACCCTAATGGACTCATTTTCATTTAATTACCTCTATGAAGACCCGATCTCCAAATAAGGTCACATTCTGAGATGCTGGGGGTTAGCCCTCAAACATATAAACTGAGATGGGGGCACAAGGCAGCCCATGATAACTGTTACATTCTCAAGACAGAGTAAGCAGGGTTTTGTTCTTTTCTTCTCCCAGAAATTACCCTGAAGAGAGGAGAAAACAAACACAAACTCTATCTTCAAAACCCAAGAGACATCTGTATTCACAGGTGAAAATCTGTGAAGACAAAGAAGATGAAGAGATAGTATAAAATCCAGGTGGTCTGGGATTTGAATTATCGGAATTCCATAAAGAGAAAATGAAGGTTAATAAATCGAAGAAATAACACAAATCATCTAGAACTACAGATTAATTTCTAGATTGAAAATGAATTTTTAAAGACCCCCCCCAGACTAAGCTACATCATTACAGAATATCAGAAAAATAAATGGAGATATTAACATATTTTCAGGAGAAGCACAGAGAAACCCTCATATAAGAACTAAAATTCAGCTGAACCTGGAGTTCTCATGAACCAACCTTTTCTTCTCCAAAACTAGAAGAGCAATGTCTTCAAAATTCCGAGGGAAAATTATTTCCAAATTGGAAGAGTTACCAGTTAAATTTCAAGCAAAATATAAGGGCTGAATAAAGATAATTTCAGATATGGAAGGACCTGAACACGTTTGCCTTCCATACATCTTCTCTGGGGAAGCTACTAAATAATATGTTCCACCAAAACAAAGAAATAAACCAGGAAAATAAAAGAAATGAGGTCCAGAAATTGGAAGATTCAAGATAAGAAAGCAATAAAAGTGATTCCCACGATGGCTTCAAGGCAGTGATTCTCAACCTTGGCTGCACTTTAGAACCACTTGGGGAGCTTTTCAAAATCCTGAGACCCAGACCACAATATGGCAGGATCCCTGGGGGTGAGACCCAGGCAGCGGCAATTTTTAAAGCTCCCCAGGTTAGTCCACTGTGCAGAGGAGACTGAGGACCATTATGTTCAGGGAAAGTCCCAGAACAATATCTGTGTAGCAGCACTATAGAAAAACTAATACAGTTTAGAGGGGGTGGTAAGAGGAACCCAACGGGGAGAGGAGGGCAGAATTGACAAGCTGGCATAAAATGAAAAATCGTACAGAAATTTGAATCAATTGATATATGGTTGAATAGTCACAAAAGCCAAAGACTGTCAGATATGCAAAGGAAACTAAGAAAATGTAAAAAATAAAGGAAAATGCTTAAAAAGTTAAAAAGAAAGAAAGTGTAACCAGAATATACTAACTGGCCAGGTAGCAAGAAAAGGGAAATCATGAAATACTGAAAAATTACACTGGGAGAATGAGAAGAAAAAAATGAGTTAATAAGGTTTAAAATGGATCAGAGATAGCAATCTACATGTTCATAGACACTGAGCACCAAATAACAAAAGAAACAACTAGGAGAGTGAGGTGGGATAAATAATGCCACCTCCCAAAGATGTTCCCATCCTAACTCCTGGAACCTCTTAATGTTACTTTATATGGCAAAAGGGATTCTGTAGAAATTAAAGATCTGGGATGGGGAGATGGGCTTGGATTGTCCTGATGGACCCAGAGTAATCAATATGATCGTTATAACAGGAAGACAAAAGGTCAAAGAATAGAGAGAAGATGACATGAAGCAGAAGCAGAGATTAGAGCATTGAAGCCATGGGACAAGAAGCCAAGGAGGCAAGGAACAGATGCCCCAGAAGAAGCCACCAGCAGGTACTCTGCTAACCACTTGATTTTAGTTAGCACCCTAAGACTCATTCCAAATTTCTGGACCCCAGAAAATAAAGTGAATAAATTTATGTTGAATTAAATCACTAAGTTTGTGACAATTAGTTACACAGCAATAGGAAATACAAGGAGTCTGAAGTATTGGAGGAGAAGTAGAATCAAAGGGGTGCAAGAGGGACATAGATATTTGAGTGTCATTTGCAATCTTGAAAGAAAGAATACATGGCACATGAATTATAATAGCCAAACTGCATAGAGTGTGCAGGGCAGAATGAGAGCATGAGTACAGGACAGTCTCTGAAACACTAATATGCACACAGATCACCCATGGATCGTGTTAAAAATGCAGGTTCTGACTCGGGGGTCTAGAGTGGGACCTATGATTTGTTTGCATTTCCATAAGTTCTCAGGTGATGGCCATGTGACTGGTCCAAGGACCACATTTAGAGGAGCAAAGATCTAGACCGGAGGCCAGTCCTCCAGGCCCTAGAAGACTGAGGAGAAGCGGGGGGGGGGGGGGGGGGGGGGAGATAGAGAGGGAGGGAATGAGAATATTTCAAGAAGCAGGAAGGTAATGAAGGAGGGAGAATAGGGGAGGCAAGACAGGGACAAGAGGAAGGACAGAGAGTAGAAAGCAGATATATAAGCTAAGGCATTTTGATCTTATCCTTGAAGATCTAGGGAGCCACTCAATGATCTGGGGAAGTGGAACAAGAAGATACATTAAAAAAAAAAGAAAAGAAAAGAAAAAGAAATGGCTATTCTTTGTAGAAGAAAAAGAAGATACAAACCAGGAATTGAAAATCATTTACTATGCAACTGGAAATATTCAGTGATGATGACTGAGGAAGGTATGACCTTCTGCCCCTCACACACACACAGTACAGAGAACTCCATCAACATGCATGTAAGTGAGCTCTGTAAATACCTGTGGTCTAAAGTCCTAAACCTGAAGGACTTTTTCATCAACATAACTATATAGTATTAATTAAACTCCCATCTGCCAATGTCAGATCCACATTTAAATAAAAAAGAAGAAATTTTTTATTTTATTAATTTTTTAAGTATATGACAGCAGAATGCATTATAATTCATATTACGCATATAGAACACAATTTTTTATATCTCTGGTTGTATACAAAGTATTTTCACACCAATTCATGTCTTAAGAAGAAAAATTTTCTCAGAAAAATTGTGTTAGGTAGTATAATTAAAATTAGCAAAAAGAAAAGCAAATCCTCCCAGCTACTCATATCCCATAGAGATTGGAATCACACATTTTCCACACTATACATTAACCACAGCTAAGGCAAACCCCAAGTGCCCTCTTTTAACAGAGAAGAAATGCTCTTCACAGAAGTGTAATGTACATATTTGATTTTCCTAAAGCATTAGAAATGGTTCCACAAAGCATTCTCAGAAGAATTCTATGCATATGGATTAGACAGAATGAGAAGAGTAAAATATGGGTAAAAAGTCAGCTAAATATATTGAACACCAAAAACTTATTAATAGTTTGGTGTCAAAATGAGAGCAGCTACTGCAAGCAGTTCATAAGGAACCATCCTGGGGCCAATCCTGCTCTATATTTTCTATTGATATCTCTGAGGATTGTGTGACAAATGCACTAATCAATCCACAGAATATGCAGCTCTGGGAGCACTGCTAATGCTTTGGACAATAATATTAAAATTCAGGATGATCTTGTTAAATTGAAGAAATAAGCCAAGATCAATAGAGCAAGCTCACGCAGTTCTGCCAGGTGTTGCAAATCACAGGATTCAGAAGCTCTCAAACAGAAAGCAAGACCACCCTGGCAAACAAAACCCCAGCTGGTAGAGCCACCCAACTCCTGTCACCCTCCACTCCCCTCAGTCACAAGGATATCCAGATAGATGATGATGAGTGTCATCTACACATGATTTAACCCATTACCTACAGCTTCTCAATTCTTTCCCCAGATCCTGCAATGAGGGGACAGAAATGAGGGATTTCAACTGATATGACTTATGGAAGACCCACACTGGCAAATTTAGACTTTGAAACACCACATCAGAGGCAGTGGCAGGAGGAAGGAGTACCGTGAACTTTTTCTAAGAGTGTCATAATGTCCTCCTAATATTCTAAAACATGGTTCCTAATGAGAAAGGGATGGGGACAGGGGAATATGAAGATCAAATTTCTCTAACGACATAAAGTTTTCCAGGTTTGGGGCAAGTCAATATTAAGACTTTTTAAAACTTATATCCATCTTTTCCTTTCCAGGGGCATTCTTAGTGACATTTATTTTCTTATCCCTGATTAGCTGGTCAATAACCAAGCCCTAGCTGCTTTCATCTTCTAAGCTCTCTTTCCTTTCATTTGCATCCCTTTACCTGCTGTCCTAGTTGACATCTTCATCATTCCTCACCCAGACTGGGGCAGAAGCCTTAGCGACTTCCTTCTCTCTCTATTCCTTTAGATCCATCCTCTACACAGTTATCAGCGTGATGCAGTCAAAACTCTTAAATCTGACCTTGAGCCCTCCTGGTTTACAACATTTCTGTACTCACAGAATGGGGTGCAAGTCCTCCAACGTGGCATACAAACATCTTCAGGGGGTTTTCTACCAGGAACTCCATCAGCTTCTTGTGTGGGGATTTCTAAATGCCTCAATGTCTGGGTGGTGTTATTAATATTTTGTGCCTATGGGCCACAGATGCCCTTGAAACTATAGGATAAATTCTCCCACCCAAATTGCCTCTGGTACCCTAATTGAGCAAAGCCTCTTATGGCTCCTGATTGCTTCTGCAGCCTTCTAGTTCCCTTCTCTGCAGCTCCGCCTCTTCTTCCACAAATGAGCCATGCTTTTTTTTCTTGCCTTTATACCTGTTTTTGCTTCTGTGTCTTAATTAACTCTGACACCTGGAGTGATTCTTGGCTTTACTAACTCACCTTTAAAACAACACTCAGGTGTCCCTTTACTAGGAAATGTCCCTACACACACAGTCTGACGCAAATGCTTCTTCTTGACCAAGCAATGGTGCTTTCTGACTGTTTTTCTCCCTCATTCTACTAGAGTGCTCTGTGCACACAGTAGACTTTAAGTTGACATAAGAATTTGAGGGAAAGATGGGTGATGACTGGGTGAGGACAATGACTTTACAGATGACTGTTGTGTAGGTAATAAATATCCGCATGGTTTTGTAGCTCATTGAGCAGCTGAGGTCAAAGTTTCAGATCAGGCCATCTGCCTTTACTTCCAGAGTTCTATGCTGTCCCGGTCACTCAATGACCTTAACCACAGTCTCTAAACAGTTCTTTGGAAGGTGCCAAACAGCACCCCACCTGATGTTCTACTTACCTGTGTAGAGAACTGCAGGTCACGAGGAGCAGTTTGATAGGCACTTCTGTTTGGCAACTCTGCATCCAGTTTGCTCAAGAATGCAGCAGTTGTGCTACCAGAAACACAAATAGGTGTTAGTGCCTTCATAAAAATAGAGATCCTGTTGTTTATTGTGGCTTTGGATACTAACCTAGACTTTTATTGGGAGATGACTGAAAGTATCCCAGGGAGAACAAAAGGTTAGGTGGAGAGCAAGTTACAGTCTCAAATCAAAACAAAACTGCATTCTGAAGAACATTAGTTTGAAAAATAGAAAACTAGGTTTGTGAAATGTGAACCTATGATTTCATTTTTCCCACTCTGCGTTACTGACGTGGAGATGACACTCTCTCAGACTCCACAGTACAGGCCTAATTTCCTATGTGAACATTTTAAGTCTGACACCAGACTCCAGTATGGAGCTGTGCAACATGAATCCCCTACAACACCTCGTTTCACGCAGTCTTACGTTAAGCCCTTCACCCACCAGGAGTCTTTCTCCAGTCCCCATCTTCCTCGTGGCTTTGACTACCTACAGGATATATGTACCCTCTAATTCAGCAGCTCTTTCCCATCTATTGAGATTCTGGAAGCAGAAATGAACCCTCTGTCTCCAGACACACACTCAGATGTGCATTTAAGTCAAGGCATGCAGAGAACCTCTGTCCACAGAGGTTAAAAAGTGATGCTGATTCTGGTCTGCATTTCTGACATTTCCTTAGAGCTCTGAAAGGTTGACCTAGAAATTTCTTTAATGAGAAATTTCTTCTTCTTAATGAGAAGTTCTTTGTTTTTCCTTTAATCCAAGCCACCACCCCAATTTCTCCTCTCACCTAATGTCAGTCACAGACCATTGAAATTAGTTCCCATTCCTTTCTGTAATGACTGCTCCATTCTGTTTGGGTTATTTTCTATTCCCTTGTCCTTTTCCCATGGAATTTATGGGATTTTTTTAACCTCTTATTCCACATTTATAACCAAACACCTCATTGAGGCCTGATTTATATTGTGGCAGACTCTTGCAGCCTGCTCCCATCTTCTTCCTGATGTCCTGCTGTTTCTGTACTGCTAAGATCAGAGTCACCAAGTACTTAGGAAGTGGGCATGAAACACAAAGGGTTCAGTAAGAACCAATATCATCCAGTGCGGGGTGGGGGAATCAACAAGAGGAATTAGAAATTTTAAAAGAAGAGAGATACCAATACCCCCATTGAACAATTCCTTAGGTAGAACCTGGCATTTAAGTCAGCTTAGAGGGTTGCTGGAAAGAAAGATCTAAAAGTGAAACAAAACACAAAACCATGAGAAGTGTAAGACTTCCGCAGTTGAGACACACAGGCCTTCCATTTATCTAGGATTACTTATCTCACCCAGATTAAGACAAGGAGACTAATGAAGTCACACAGCCTGGAAGCCACCCCACTGTCTGGAGTTTTAGGAAGTCATCAGTCAAAAGTGTAAAAAGAAGAGTTGCCAGAAGTTTGGATGAGATTTTTGAATATTGTTAATGGAATGCAGACAGGGGGAAAAGTAGGGACAAAGAAACTCAGTGGTATGGAAGGAACTGTAGACCTCGTTGACTGACAGGGGCTCACTGTGCACTGCCCACTGCTTCTTTCCTGCTAATGCCAAGCACAAACTGGGTGGGTGCAGGGCCACCAGCCACACTGTCCCACCCAGACTGCAAGAGTAAAGCATGGTGACAGACCTGGGACTGACATGGAAATATAAATAGGGGACTAAGGAGAATGTGGATTATTTCCATACAATGAACAATACAAACAAGGAAAGCCTTGAGTTACTAAGCTAAGTGGTGTTTTTCTACTATTGGCACAGTGCCTGGTAGATAATAGAATTCCCATATACTAAACTGAATTGGGATCCCTGTAGGTAACTGTGGTCATCAGTTCTAAAAATAAAATAACCTTGTTGAAGAACAAACACAGGAAAATGGCCTTGAAGGAAGTCCAACTAGACTAAGAATCTAAACTCTGGGCACTCTGAGCCAGCTTTCCCTTGGTGTTCCTACTATCTATTGCAGGTGGGTGGTCCTCTCATACTTTATCACTCTGACCCAGGCATGAATACAGGACTTCTTTTACTCTCTACAGAGCAACTGGTTAGACTGGTTTTGGAGATTTAGTTTACAGGTCCAACTTTGATCTTCAAGGATCCTTCCTGCTTGTTCTTGGGATGATTCCTATGGCTTATTCCTAAAGTTTCATCAGGATTGCTTCTCCTCAATATCTCACAGCTGTAGCAGGGATGCTAAACATTTACCAAAACTTATGTTCTCCTCTTATCCTGGTCATACTCGGTTACAGTGTTTCCTGGCCTCCCTGACAGCAAAGATTGGCAATATACTTGAATCTTGTCCAATGAATGTGAGATGAGATAATGCACACCATTTCCAGGACTGAAGTTTATTTTAAATTTCTCAGCTACATGCCTCCATACGTTTTGGCCAAATGGTTGTATGAAAAAGGGTTAACTTATAGAGAAACTTTGGAGGTTATATAGTGAAGTTGGTAGAATTTCTGTCCATTTTTGTACCTAAGTACCTGATGGGAGGGAGCCTAATCTCAAACCTGTTCACTCATATCATAAATGAGCAAGATAAAAACCACAGATAACACTCAAACACTATATATTTTGGGGCCTGTTTAAGACAGCAATCAGCCTATGCTGAAAATACAACATAAATAAATATGTAAAGAGAATAATTTCTCACTTCCAAAAGTACATAAGAAGCCAAGAATAGCTGAAGAAGAATAGGAAAAAGAATTTTCAAGGATTCCATTTGGCTTCTCAGTCATTTCAGAACTTTAGGATGAAAAGGGAATGCTGGGAAAGGGGGGAAGATTACTCATCCTTGAGATGTCTGTGTTTCATATCTAGGAACCACCTAGACCCAGAGTATAAAAATTAGCATTAATTTATCCTAAAATCACTAAAACTTTGTCTAGATTGAAGATAGGTAGGGGTTTGAGGAAATTCACTTTGAAAAAATTAAGGAAGGACAAGAAAATGGCTTGTTATATTGTAGTATGATGGAATATTTATAACTGTCAATGAAGAGTCATCAGTAACAAAATTTGACCTCCATAAAATGACAAAAAAAAAAAAAAAAAAAACTAGGAAAGGCCACAGAGAGTGAAGTTTACCTTTGAGGACTCCTTTGACTAGCCCAGAATTGCAAAAGACAATTCCTGTAAAGTTATTTGATTTGAGAATTAGAAAACTGGGATTTTCAATAGTCAAAAAAAAAAAAAAAAAATGTTGGACCTAGAGTTGTAGTTCAGTGGTAGAATGCTCACCTAGGACATGTGAGGCACTGGGTTCAATCCTTAGCACCACATAAAAATAAATAAATAATGGCATTGTTACCATATACAATTAAAAAAATAATGTGCTAAAAAAAAGAACAAAAATTAACATGGACTCGTAGAAGTTGGTGAGTCAAGAGACTAACATCAGGGCTACAAGGTATTAAGCAACTTTCCCTACCTAGTTGCCCATATCTGCCAACTACAAATTATGACAGGATATATAAGGATATTCTCATCAAAATGTTAAACTACAATTATAAACAGTCATAATGGGGAAGGTACTGCTGTTGAAAAATAAGTACAAACGTCTCTCCTGGTACTTTTTATGTTGCTGGGGAGTAAATGGAGCAGTGCTACTTTTCCTCACCTTCTGTTAGCTTCCACACAAACTCAAATGACTACAGGGCTCAGACAAATGAGTGAGGGAAACAGGAGCTCAGACCTGGTGATAAATGACAATTGCCACTGAGGTCAATGATAGAGGCCAGAGAGTGTGTCGGGGATTTTGACAAACTAGAGAGTGAGCTTCCACGTAAAGGGATCAGCTGCTTCTTAGCTCCAGACTGTTGTTGTCCATGGGAGCCCAGGCCAGCATGCCAGATGTCCCAGTTTTCACTGTCATAACAAAATGCTGAGATTTTTAATGTGAAATGATTTGGCAACTAATTAAAAAAAAAATGGAACACTGAGGGCCAATGCTGTGTGATCAAATACAAACACACCAAAGAAAACATCTACTTGCCGGACGCAGTGGCACACATCTGTAATCCCAGTGACTCAGGAGGCTGAAGCAGGAGGATCATGAATTCAAAGCCAGCCTCAGCAACAGTAAGGCTCTAAGCAACTCAGTGAGATCCTGTCTCTAAATAAAATATAAAATAGGGCTGGGGATATGGCTCAGTGGCTGAGTGCCTCCGAGTTCAATTCCCGGTACTAAAAAAAAAAGAAGAAAAAGAAAACATCTACTTGTCAGATGTGCCCCCAAAGTCCTCCTAACTCTGACAGGCTGATTTTGTTTCTGCCTGTTTGGGTTGGCACTGTTGACAATGCATTTTTAACTATATATGCTTTATGTTTATTTTAAAAGAAAGAATAAGCAAGACTGAATTCTATTATTAAAGAAAGGGCTGAGAAATAGTGGCTTTGCAGTTCTATGTCCATCATCTAACACTTGGAGAGAGAAGGGTATCAGACAATATTTCATATTTATGCCTCATACTAAGGTATGGCACTTCATTTACAGTTTATAACTCTACATCTTTCTGTTAATATAAGAAAAGCAAGTACTACACATAAGATGAAAAAAATGACCATGAAAAATATTTACAGCCAAGGAAAAAAATAATAAAAAGAGTTAATGTGCAAAATATATAAAGAATGCTAACAAATCAAATTACACAAAGACAAACAGCCCAATAGAAAATTGGGCAAAAAATAGAAACACATACTTCATATAGGAAAAAAGATTAACAACAACAATTAGAAGAGCAACAGCTCAGGGCGCATATAGTATTTATTATGTGTCGGGCCATACTGAAAAACTTTATATACATTCCTTCTATGACAACCTTGCAAGAATTCCATTGTCATCTCCAGTTCCTAGAAGTAAGTTGCTCAAGGTCATACGGCTAGTAACTGTCAAAACCTGGGCTCAGACCCAGGCAGCCTGGCTCCAGAGGCCATACTTGCAGCCACTGTGCCTGACTGCTTCTCATGAGCAATACCCATGAGAAAAGATGGTCAA